AACGCTTTGGAAACAGAATGCATTGATTATAGTCGAGTCTAAAACTTAAAATGACAAAACATATAGCGCAGACTGGGCATGGCTTGAAGTATTGGAAAACAGAGCCGATCTTCAATCGGCAAAACTAAAGCCGAACCGAAACCGATTGGTTTTCTAACCACCTCACAACGAATCCAACTGAAGCTGATGACGCTGAAACGAGTTGAAACCAACGAAATTCATGAAATTCTGAAACTAACCTGTGCTTTTCGCTTCGTCCGCTTCTGTGGCGGATCTAGATGGATAGAAAGCGATTGTTGGATCTAGTAAAAATTTTCTCGATTTCATCGAAGAGAGCGGTGAAAAAAGTTGCCTAACTCTCGAAAAAAGATGGTCGTCCATAACTGAAGAAGTGTCACTGGAAATTTGATTTTCAAAGCAGAGTGTGCCTAGCTCATATACGTAGGTCAAGATGTAATACGAAATCCTGGTGATGTATTTTAAAGCCAAACCATCTGTATTAGTCAAAATATAAACCTAGGTTCTTAAGCTATTTAGAAGCCACATTCAGAGTCGTGCTCCTGTCCTTAATCTCGTTAAATCAATTTTTTTTTCAATAGACAAACCAACCTTGTTAATCCTTCCCAATGACTTAATCATCACAGTGTTTGATTATCTTGATCCAATTGATATTCTCTACTCATTCCATTCTCTTAACAGCCGTTCTGACTCACTCATTAACGTTTATAAAGTCAATGTTGATCTATGTGATAGATCATTGACAGTCATTGATACCATTCTACCACTCATTCATCCAGCTGTTGTTGATCTGAAAATCGATCGTTTTCTATTTGTTGGCAAGAGTTTTTTTCAACAATTTCCATCATTGAAATATCTCACACTCCAAAATATGACCGAAGAAATTATTAAACAACTAAGACCATATTTCAGTTCCTTTAAGCGTTTACTAAAAGTTCAGTTCGTTCATGGCGACCATAGAAACTATTGGCTTCCAAATGATTTTATCAAAGAAATAATTCAACAAAATTGTTCATTGAAAGAAGCATTTTTAGCTGAAATCGAACCACTAACTAGAGACACAGTAGCAAAACTAACGCTTTGTAGCAACTTAACAGTATTACAAGTTAATCTAGAGGCTGGACGTGATTTATTAACTCTATTGCACTATCTTCCACAGATTCAAAGTGTGACATGTATTAGTGACAGTGAAATTAAAATGCAAGATTTTCACACAGCAATTGCACCAACATCGTCTCTTCAAAAATTAGATTTAGAATTTCTTCAAAAATGTAATTTAAATGCAATTTTCTACTTGCTGAAATCTCGTCTGTCATTAATTGATTTATCATTAAAGTCGCAGATAAATATGAAGTACAATGAGAGAGCAATTGACGGCAATCGATTGAAAAACGAATTACTTCAACATCTTATCGCATTGAAAACGTTTAAATTTAGTTTTATCGTATCGATGGAATGGGAAACAGCAATTGTGCCAGACACGAGTGCAATTATCAAAACATTCAATAATGATTTTTATCTGAAAGAACATGACTGGAAGGTGAGTATTTAGTACCAGATTCAAAACAGGTCCATCTCTCTAGAAAGAACTGCTTTAAGAGATGAACCATCAGAGGTGAGTGGATCCTCTTTTGAGATTTTTGCTATTGTTCATTTAACACAAAACATTTTATTTATCACTCATTTATGTCCAAGGTAAAAAAACACAAAAAGGAAATTGGAGTGATAAGACGATAGTTTATTTACTCCGCTAACTGCAGAAAACGACGGATATTCTTTTTTCTGTCTCCTGATGATGTTTTCTGATCTTTTTCTTATCTTTGCTTGGCTCAGACATTCAGCAAGAAAAATAAATAACTTTCATCCTGTTCATGTCTGTCCGTTGTGCAGCGAAAACCCCGTTTTGTTCATGGACATAGACGAGTGGACAGATTGGATGGTGGGTCACCCAAAGGCTCAGTGTGCCGCTTGCTCCGTTTTTTAAAATAATAATGAACTGCACACATTTGAAAAGCGAACTGATTGAACCGAATTAGTTCACTTACAATTTCGGCGCTTTTCAAAAGACAACAACAATACTTATCACGATCTATCAGTTTCTATATAATTTTATTTCTGAAAGCAAATTTTGTAAACATCATATGTCGGTGAAAGTAAGTTCGTTCGTCCAGAATTTCGTCCGTGCAGAAAGATGTCCAATTTGGCCGGTAACTCCGGTTATCGGACGAATATTTTCGTCCGCTCTTTGGGTTGCAGAAGAGTGTTGACTGGCAAAAGGGTTCCATCAGTTGCATTTTTATGAATTTTTGTAAATTTTGATGGGCTGTTGCCCACTTTTTCTTCGAGTTGACGGTCAACTTGGGTATGATGTCATTTACTTGTTGAATATTTTCGTCCGAATGAATGAAACTTTTGTTTGAATTGCTGGGCACTCAGAAATCGCTACTCATCAACGTGAGGCAGATTTAAGAGAGGCTTCACTAGTCAGTCGAGCATTGCTTCCGAAGCCAGTGGAATGGTCGAAATTAACATATATTGTTTTTAACATTTTTGGATTCTACGATCAAAAGTGGAGTTATGAAAAAAGTTTTAGTCTCTTTGGACTTAATTTGACCGAGTTATAGCATTTACAAAATGGTCGGTGTCTGAGAGTCTTGAAAAAGCATCCTCTTTACTATTTTCGCTATAACTTCATCATTTTTCATCAGTTCTATTTGAGCACCATCACATTCAAAAACCTGATAAAGACTAAAGAAAACAGTTGATTTAATTCTGTTCTGCTGTTGAGTTTTCCTAGAAAAAACTTGGGTTTTCTGAAATTTTCCAGTTTTCAACACATGAATAGTTTTGATCAAAATTCGGAATCAGCGTCAAAAACTGCATCTAGTGATTTGGAGTAATATCACTTTATTTTCCATTTTTAATTAGATTTAGGCTGAGAAAATTCAAAACAACTAGAAAAAGTTGGAAAAATCACCTCCACTGGGCGGTCTTGCTTCCCAAATTTCGCCATGTTCTGAAACTTTTTTTCCAAATTATTTAATGCATCTTGTACAGGATCAGATGCTCTATAAAATGCACGATAAGAAAATCTAGTCAGCAATCTTTTTATGATTCAAATTTGACTTTTGATCAAAACTATTCGTGTGTTGAAAACTGGAAAATTTCAGAAAACCCAATTTTTTTCTAGGAAAACTCAATAGCAGAACAGAATTAAATCAACTGTTTTCTTTAGTCTTTATCAGGTTTTTGAATGTGATGGTGCTCGAATAGAACTGATGCAACTCTTCTGCAACCCAAAGAGCGGACGAAAATATTCGTCCGATAACCGAAGTTGCCGGCCAAATTGGACATCTTTCTGCACGGACGAAATTCTGGACGAACGAACTTATCCTTACTCACCATACGTGAGATAAATAAAAATAAAAAAAACCAACCTTGGAATCGAACTGAGTTAAATTAATTGGAGATTAGTTCGAAATGAATTGAGAAAAGCACTAAGCGAAATGTTCTCGATTTCTTTTCTGTTCTAGGTTGGTGCCTTTCAAGAACATGAATTTGACTCCTATCATCTATTTTCTTTGCCGTATGCTTATTCTGATTTCGATCCGTGTCTGACAAACAAATTTGTTGATTTTGATACAATCAACTGTTCCTTGCCACTTCCATCAGGTTCGTTTAATGAAGTCACCTCAGCTACAGTCAATAATTATATCTGGAGAAATTCATTACCATTACTACAGTATATTAAAAGAAATTTTATTAATTTAAAAGAATTAGAAATTACTCTGAAGGTTGACGATTTAGATGAGCTGAAAGTTGGGGTTGGAGATTACGTGAACAGATTGAAAGAAATTGTCGGGCAACAGTTACAATTTCCAAAAATTAAACAATTAGATTATAATGCTCGATATTTTGACTTTCAACACATCTACATTTTGTTTCCAAATCTTATCGAATTGAAAACAACCATGAAACATGTGTTAATATGTACTAATGAACTCAAAGATCAAGGACAATTCTTCTTGAAATTTAAGCATTTAAAAAGAGTTGAAATATATGAAGCAGAGCATACTGGTGAAATATCTGGAGAAGAAGAGAAAAACTCTATAAAGTATTTCGGTAGATATCTTCGATATATATCCCTAGATTTCGCTTTATACAACTTGGATTGGGATTAATTGTTAGCAGTGCTATGTTGTTTGTGTTAAGTGGACTTTTTTGTTTCTTTTTGTATTTAAAAATACAGGTTTTTTGAAAGTGTAACGTGTCTGCGAAACACAGATTTCCTTGTTTTCTAGTTAATATAAAGAAAAGAATTACTAAACAACAACTGAATATCACACAACAAACTAAGTTTTCTTCTTTGATCAATAGCAGTAAATAGGCAAACAAAAAAATAGGCACAAAATATGTATAATTTATATACAAATAGGACTAGCAGAACAAGGTAAACGAAAAAAAACAAAAACTTAGAAAAAAAGAAGTAGTGCGAACAAAAGAAGGAAAGCATTTGTAATGGATATGAATAGATAGAGCAAACAGAGGAAACAAGCAATAGAAGACGAAAAGTACCACGATGTCCTTATCCATTTAGAGAGAGCAAATCTAGTACATTGAACGATGATGTGCCACGAGTGACAAGACAAGAAGAGTAAAGAAGAAGATATGCATATGTAAAAAACGTAGATCTGCAATGATAAACTAACAATTCGATACCATACTAACTGAAATGTAACTGACTCATCACACTTTCAACTACTATGTATATTGTCCAAATTCCACTGGAAATCAGGCAATATTGAATTTTGTCGAAATTCAATTCAAAATTCCGACAGAATTTCAACGATTGTGGGAATTTGACAATATTGTCAAAACTCCAGTAGAATTTCAAAAATACATCGGAATTTCGACATTGCTGAAATTTAGGTCATGAAATTCCGATTTACCTTGCAGAAACACATAAATAGCACTCGAATAAACTTCTCGTAATAATTGTCAGTACCAAGAGGTTTTGAGCTAAACTATCTAAAGCAGTATAATAAAGAAGTAGTACGATTTTATGACTGGATAATCAATCACAGCAAAAGTGACACTTGTTGTCACCGCTTACCTCAGTAACGGACAGTGGTATTAGCCTTAAATTGACGAACGATCAAAAGAGGCAAGAGCAGTAAGATCAGGCTTGATAGAAGTTACCTGCCAGCAACTTCTGCAAACAAAATCGTCGTCAAGAATAGTTAGCTTACTGGAAGAAAGAGTTCATAGACAAAAATAATTTCCTTACTGGAAGGAAGCGTTTGTACGGTACAACACTTTTAGCCATAAATAAACGATCCCAGGAGTACCTCAAAAGGTAATTGGAGAACATCTTGAGCGAATGGCAAAGAGACTCAAAAGATGTCGCGCATGTATGGTTTCAAAACAGAATGACTGTGAAGTATTTCATCAGCTGAATTTTACGGACTGAAACGAGCTGACCACGGAGAATCTGAGGGTATACGCTTGGAGACCTCTTGCAGCTCTCTGTTGTGTCTGGAGAGAATCTTTGATAGTGTATGTGTTTGATTTGAATTTAGCCGTGAATACTAACCAAGCGTAATGTATGGTCTTCGGGGATGTCTGCAAAGTTTTCAGAGGGTTTGCGCGAAACTGTTTGATTTCTTGAGTGAGTTTAATTGGAAAATAGCAAAAACAACCCTATAAAAGAAAAATAAGTGTAGGTCGTGGGAGAGCCGATGCATCTTTGTCTCGATTTAACTCGCGAAAATAATTATGTCTCATGATTTGACTCATGTCTCGAGAAATCGTTCACTTGTGCAGCTCGGCTTACAAAATAAGGAATATGAAAAACTACACTCTATGTCCTGTGATAAAGAAGAAATTCTGTCAAACAGCGCACGTTGAAAAAGTTTCTCCATCTATTTTCTTCGTTTTAGATGTTTCTCATTATCTCCTATTGACGAAACAGTGTAAAAGATAATGAGTTCGTGTACGAAACGTGGTTTTTATAAACATTCTACAGAGTCATCATCGTCGAAACGTCACAAAACAAAACAACATGTGAATAAAGGTATACTCGTTTTCCTTTCTTTCACTAAGAATGCTCATTTCAGGCAAAAAGATATTTAACGCTTTGGAAACAGAATGCATTGATTATAGTCGAGTCTAAAACTTAAAATGACAAAACATATAGCGCAGACTGGGCATGGCTTGAAGTATTGGAAAACAGAGCCGATCTTCAATCGGCAAAACTACAACACTGATAATAACCAGACAAAATCAAATTTTTCAGTATAAAGTCAATAAAAGTAGGAAGTTATGAAATAATACATTTGGGGTCAGTTATGTTGTACATAATTTTTTTACCCAATGTTACATCAGGCCATTCTGTAAGACCATCAACAATCCAATAATAAGCATCACAAGGCTTTAGCAGTACCTCCGCTTCCTTGAGTTTTCCGTTCAAAAAGTCTCTGATAGCAAGTGCTCTTGCTTGAGACATGGACCATAAACCCCAATATGGAAGACTTTTCGTTTTATACTCCCACGTGAAGCCTCCGGCATTTAGGGCTTTTAGTACAACCATCGCACAATTGTTATCAAATAGATCATACTTCTTTTCCTTCAAATAGTTTTCCCACCATGGCACAACTCTAGTTTCATCGAGCCTTGAAGATGGAATTAGAACCTTTTTTTTAGGCAGTCGATTTTCAAATTCAATATCCTTTAAGAGCGTTTGATCTTTGATTGGATCTGCTTGATCTTTGATGCATTGTTTAGTTCTGCTTAATGGCCAAAAGCTGATATGAATTTGATTTGGGAGTGTCAATGAAACATGGCCAACTTCCTTTACACTTCGAAATTCCCAAAAGTGAACGACCGCGTTTCCATTCCTGCAGCTGGATGATGTTTCGTGACAGTATCTCTCAATTTCCGGGTCAAGTCTTGAACACATGAGCGGTGCAGTTTTTGTATTGAGAGAGCGATCGCTGAAATGAGTAGAAATAAGAATTCGAGAAAGTGATAAGAGTGTTGTTTCTACTCACTTCGAATCAACAACCTTCTTTAGTACTGTTGTCTTGAAAACTATTGGTTAAAAGTTTATTTGTTGAAATTGAACACTTCTTTATATTGCAAAATAAACTAATAAATGTTGAATGCGTCGAAGAATATTGTGTTGTGTTCTGCGCCAAATGTGTATTGATCATATCTCAATAGAATTGATAGTTTATATATACAACGTAGTCCTTTTACTAAGGTAATTTCTTTTCTTTTTCTTCTGTTGTTTTTTTCCCAGCATGAGTCAATATTTTTGTTCGAGTGATATCATTCGAATGCATCATGCATTTTCGTTGCTCTTTTATATTATCTTTCTGTTTTCTTCTGATCCTTCGTTGATCGATAGATTTATGTATGCATATTTATCAGATTGTTGTTTTTCTGTTTCCTTCGAATAAATATTTGATAAGACAATATAATTTCAAGAAGAAAAAGAAATCGATAAGAGTTTAATTTATTTTTTTTCTATTCCAGATATAATTTTCCATAATGATAGAAATGTGAAAAACAATAATATGAGATGAAACAGTTAATCATTGAATATCCACAATAATATAATCATTTTTAGTTGTAGTACTGGAAGGTATTGTAACCCGAGTCAGAAATTTTTGTATGCGCATGAAATACTTGAGTATCTTGGGCAAGAAAGTCATGTGATATTGACACATCTTTCGGCGAGTTCAAGCTCTTAAACCTCTTGTTCCATCACTTAGCATTCTTACTCATGCACTTGAATCATAAATTCTTAAAGGCAATGAGAGTTATTTCATCTTGGGCAGAAAATCGTTAATTATTTTGTTCCCGTTGATCGTTTCAAATATGCTCATTCATATGTTCTGTGCATGAGTTGCTTAACCTCTGCACATAACTCATGTAAACATTCAAGCGCATTTCTATGAAAGAAAATCACGTGATATGGACACATCTTGAGGTCTGTGCATGTCACGCATATGAAAAAAAAAGTTCGACTTGGGTAAGAATTGACTCTCCACTCGATCTATTATTTGATTTGATATTTTTCTTACGCGAACTTTGAAATGGCGAGCAGAACTAACAACCTTTTCTTTTAGCCATTTTTAATCGATGGTTTTAAATTTGATTTACGTGTATATGTTGCTGCAACATCTTGTGATCCATTTCGAATTTTTGTTTATAAAGATGGTCTAGCTCGTTTTACAACTCAACCTTACGAAGAACCATCAAACATGACCAACGTTCTGACATGAAAGAATGTTCGAGAATAAGTGCGATGTGTACGACAATAATTATTTTGAAAGAGTCTGATGATCAAGTCAAAAACTGCAGAACCTCTAGCTAGTGTGTGAATAATGCAATTCCCAAAACACATTCCCACACCCCAGAGTAACCATGCTGCACCCATTCTTGAGAAAACAATAGCCAAATTCGAATTTTTCTTCTTTAATGACGGATTTTCGTACAACGTAAGACACCACATAAATGCCACACCATCGAGCAGTAAAGCTGTGATTAACATAATGACGGTTGATGACAGTCGCTGTTTTGAAGCAATACCGAGAAGACCCTCGCTGAACAGCATCATAGCATCATATTAATATAATACATTATTATTTCACTTCAATTATCTTTTCAATGGAATTTTCCTTTTTTTATTTTACTTATACATAAAAGAAATATTTTCAAGGAATTCAAATTATTTTTCATCTTTTATATAGGAATTCTTTTTTTTCTCACAGATTTTTTGTGAAGTTTTTTTATTTCGAATCAATATTTGAAAAATCTAGTCGAAAATTTTCTTTTTATTATAAAATAAACTTTAATAGAAGTTGAACATCATTCAAAATGAGATAGTTTTAATAATGATGGAAACAAATCAAAATTTTAATTAACCTCGATGATATATATCACCCTCAACATAGTTATCTTATCAATTTAAAAAAAGCATAAATGTTTAAAATATTTTGAGTTTTTGCACCAGACCGAAAATTCATTATGATGACCATGACCACGTCCATTGGTCTGATGTTCATTAGACCGATGTGTAAAAACCAATACTAAATACAGTTGACAATGCGAACAGAAGAAATATGTACTCTATGTGTTATAAAACAATCAACTTCTCGACCACCCACTATCCAATATAATGTCAACATGGTGCAATAGAAATTATCATTCAAAGACAAATAACGTGAAAATCAAGTGTAGAAACGATCAAAGACTTCACTGTGAACAATATTTTTGCGTTGATGAAACAAACAGTGAAACGTGTAGAGAAGTATACTGTACATTGTTCGTTACTGCGATAAAATACAATAAAATAAAATCTGTTGCATTTATGTGTTTCTAGTGAATCTATTGTACTCTAGACGTGTCGTGATCTATATGCCAAGCATTCGCTTGTCGTTTTATTTAGCACGTTCATCTGTATATGATCAATCAGTTGAACACAATCAGTTGAATCCTTTTGCCAAAAAACCAGAATAATAATTGGGTTCAACGATTACATTGTATTGAAAAACAGAAATATATTGATCGTCGAATCATTTATAGAATAGTTAACTGAAACAGGCGCATACCCAAATTCTTGAAGTCAGCTGTTTTTTCTTCGTAAGCAATACACCGTTGAATGATATAAAGAAAGCTGAGGGCTTGGATTGCTACTAGAAATCACTCGAAATCATTCAAAATCAAGGAAATCAGTTTGTTGCCTCCTGGTGCGCAGCTTCAAATCGATTTTTCGAGATCGTCTCAGATGCGAACTCTAGAATGTAATTTACTATCGATCTGCCATTTTTCGACATGTGTAACAAGGAATTGAGATATGCTAATGCTCTTTCAAAATGACTCCTGTTCTCTTACGACTTTCCAACATAATAACATACTGAAATAGGCTGCATACACAATATATATTAATTAAATCATAATCATCTCGTGGATGATGTGTTCCTGATCGTGATGATTTATCGATAATCAATCGCTTAAGTTCTCCAAGAGAACAACTCATTCCTTCGAATTGCACAGATTCAAAATCTCTGTCTGCTTTGTATTTATATCGAATAATTGACATAATTTTAGCCATATTGAAGTATCAGATACAGACACACAAATTGACATAGTACTAGACCCGAGTGTAAAAATAACTGATCCATCGGACTTCTCTGATCAAAAAATAACTACAAACACACCGACTACAATTAATAATTCACCCGTTCATCTCACCCCTTCAGCCAACAATTCTACGACAGCAGTAACAACAAATCAA